TGAAAAGACTATGCAGCAGATTAGGAGAAGCTGAGGATTGAATTATTTAATTAGAAGACAGAGTTGAAAATATCACTCAATCAGAGAACCAAAAAGAAAAAACAATTAAAAAACAGATAGACAGCTTAAGGGAGCTGTGGGACAATGTGAAACATAACAATTTTAGAAGAGCAGGTGTGCCAGGAGAAGCAAAAAGGGAGAAAGGCATAGAGAAGGTGTTTGAAGAAATAATGGCAGAAAACTTCCCTAACCTGGTAAAGGAAAAAAATCACACTAACGCAGGAGGACAGAGACCCCCAAACAAGAAGAACCCAAACAGGCCCATGCCCAGACACATCATAATTAAAATGCCAAAAATTAAAGACAAAGAAAGAATCTTAAAGGCAGCAAGAGAAAAGAAAACTCCTACCTAAAAGGAGTTCCCAAAAGGCTGACAACTGATTTCTCATCAGAAACTCTACAGGCCAGAGGGAATGGCATGAAGTACTCAAGGTAATGGAAAGCAAGGATCTGAGACCAAGGTTACTATATCCAGCAAGGCTACCATTCAAAATAGGTCAAATAAAGAGCTTCCCAGACAAAAAAAAAAGGCTAAAGGAGTTCATTACCACCAAGCCAGCATTACAAGAAATGCTAAAGGGATTGCTCTAAGGGATTACTGAGAAGAAGAAACAGAGAGAGAAACCTAGCCATACAGAATTAAAATGGCAATAAATAAGTACCTATCAATAATAACCCTAAATGTAAATGAACTAAATGCTCTAATCAAAAGGTATAGGGTAACTGAATGGATACAAAGGCATGACCCAACTTAAAACAAAAGACACACATAGGATGAGTCTACAGGGATGGGAAAAACTTTTTCCATGCAAATAGAAAAAGAAAGCTGGAGTAGCAATATTCATATCTAACAAAAGAGACTTAAAATGAAGTCCATCACAAGAGAAAACAAAGGTCACTGCATAATACTAAAGGCATTGATCCAATAAGAGGATATAACCCTGGTAAGCATATGTGCACCCATTATAGAAGCACCTCAATATATAAAAAACTTCTAGAGGACTTTAACGGAGAGATGGACAACAATACAGTCATAGTAGGGGAGTTTAACACCCCTCTAAATTCACTGGATAGATCTTCCTGAAAAAAAAAAAAAAACTTAACAAGGAAACAGAGACTCTAAAGGACACACTGGATCACATGGATTTAATTGACATTTATAGAACATTTCACCCCAACACAGTAAAATATACATTCTTTTCAAGTGCACATGGATCACTCACAAAGATAGACCACATGTTAGGACACAAAACAAGTCTCTACAAGTTTAAGAAGATTGAAAGCATATCAAGCATCTTGTCAGGTCACAGTAGAATGAAATTATAAATCAACTACAGTAAAAACACCCAAAAACATTCAAACACATGAAGGCTAAATAGCATGTTATTAAAAAAAGAATGGGTTACCAATGAGATCAAGAAAGGAATTAAAAAACAAATGTAAATGAACACACAACAAGACAAAAATCTCTGGAACACAGCAAAAGCAGTCTTGAGAGGGAAGTTCATAGCACTGCAGGCATACCTCAAAAAAAGAAAGTCAGCAATAAACTATTTAACAGTACAACTTGAAGAACTAGAAAGAGAATAAGAAAAGCCCAGAGCAAGTAGATGAAAGGAAATAATAAAGATTAGAGCAGAAAGAAATAACATAGAAACTAAAAAGTCAATGAAACAAGAGCTGGTTCTTTGAAAGGATAAATAAAATTGTTAAACCATTAGCCAGACTCATGAAGAAACAAAGAGAGAGGACCCAAATAAATAAAATCAGAAATGAAAGTGGAGATGTAACCACTGACACCACAGAAATACAAAGGATTGTAAGAAAATAGCATGAACAACTATATGCCAACAAACTGGAAAATGTGGATAAAATAGATAAATTCCTAGAAAAATACAATCTCCCAAAACTAAATCAGGAAGAATAAAAAAAAACCCGAATAGGCCAATAACAACTGATGAAATAGAAGCAGTAATTAAAAAAAAAAAAACTCCCACAGGGAAGTTATACCAAACATTCAAAGCACTAACACCTATACTCCTCAAACTATTTTAGAAAATCCAAGAGGAAGGAACTCCAAACTCTTTTTATGTATTATCCTAATTCCAAAACCAGATAAAGATACTACAAAGAAATGGAATTATAGGCCAATATCTCTGATGAACATAGATGCTAAAATTCTCAACAAAATCTTAGCAAATCGGATCCAGCAGTACATCAGAAAGATCATACACCATGACCAAGTGAGATTTATTCTAGGGATGCAAGGCTGGTACAATATTCGCAAATCAATAAACATGATACATCACATAAACAAATTGAAAGACAAAAATCACATGATCATATCAATAGATGCAAAAAAGCATTTGACAAAATCCAACACCCATTTTTTATAAAAACTCTGAGCAAAGTGAGAATAGAGGAAGCATATCTCAACATGATAAAGGCCATGTATGACAAACCTACTGCCAACATCATACTCAATGGGCAAAAACTAAAACCATTTCTCCTAAGAACAGCAAAAAGACAGGGATGCCCACTTTTACCACTCCTGTTTGACATAGTGCTGGAAGTGCTAGCCATAGCAATCAGATAGAAGAAGAAATAAAAGTCATCCAAATTGGAAAAACTGTCATTATGAGCAGATGACATGATATTGTACATAGAAAACCCTAAAGACTCCATCAAAAAACTACTAGACTTAATAAATGAATTCGACAATGTAACAGGATACAAAATTAACACCCAGATATCTATGGCTTTTTTATACACCAATAATGAACTCACAGAAAGAGAAACTAAAAAAAAAAAAAATCCCATTTACCATTGCAACAAAAAATTTAAGATACCTAGGAATAAATTTAACCAAGGAGGTAAAAAACCTGTACTCAGAAAACTATAGGATGTTGAAAAATAGATATAGAGGAAGACATAAACAAATGGAAGAATATACTGTGTTCATGGATTGGTAGAATCAACATCATTAAAATCATTAAAATGTCCATACTACCCAAAGCAATGTATAAATTCAATGCAATTTCCATTAAGATACCAACATAATATTTCACAGACCTAGAACAAACTCTCCAAAAATCATATGGAATAAAAAAAAAATCCACAGCAATCCTGAGAAAGAAGAACAAAGCTGGAGGGATCACAATACCAGATGTCAAGCTATATTACAAAGCCACTGTTCTCAAAACTGCCTGGTGCTGGCACAAGAACAGACATATAGACCAATGGGACAGAAGAGACAACACAGAAATTGATCCAAGCCATTATGCTCAATTAATATTTGACAAAGAAGGCAAGAGCATACAATGGAATCAAGATAGTCTCTTCAATAAATGGTGTTGGGAAAATTGGACAGATACATGCAAAATATGAAACTAGACTACTAACTTACACCATACACAAAAATAAACTCAAAATGGATAAAGGACTTAAACGTAAGACGGAGACCATAAAAATCTTAGAAGGCTCCATAGGCAGCAAAATATCAGACATATGTCATAGCAATATATTTACTGATACAGCTCTTAGGGAAATTGAAACTAAGGAGAAAATAAACAAAATAAACAACAAAACTAAAAGCTTCTGCACAACAAAAGAAACCATTACAAAACAACAAGAAAGCGCACTGCATGGGAGAACATATTTGCTAAACAATGTTATCTCCAATAAGGGTTTAATCTCCAAAATGTGCAGGGAACTCATACAACTTAACAAAAGGAAGATAAACAATCCAATCAAAAAAATGGGCAAAGTACTTAAATGGACACTTTTCAAAAGAGGACATGTAGAAGGCCCAGAGACATGAAAAGATGCTCAAAATCACTAAGCATCTGAGAGATACAAATCAAAATGACAATGAGGTACCATCTCACACCTGTCAGAATGGTTATCATCAACAAATCAACAAACAAATGCTGGAGAGGATGCAGAGAAAAAGGAACCCTCTTGGACTGCTGGTAGGAATGCAGACTGGTGCAGCCACTGTGGAAAACAGTATGGAGTTTCCTCAAAAAATTAAAAATGGAATACTCATTTGACCCAGTCATCCCACTTCTAGGAATATATCCCAAGAAATCAGAAACACCAATCAAAAAGGACATATTCACCCCTATGTTCATAGCAGCACAATTTACAATAGCTAAGATCTGGAAACAGCCTAAGTGCCCATCAGCAGATGAGTGGATTAAAAAACTGTGGTACATTTCTACAATGGAATACTACATAGCAATAAAAAAGAGAACCCTTACCATTTGCAACAGCATGAATTGACATGGAGAGCATTATGCTAAGTGAAATAAGCCAGTCGGAGAAAGATAAATATCACATGATCTCACTCATTTGTGGAATATAATAGACAACATAAACTGATAAACAAAATTAGAGCCAGAGAACAAAATATTTTTGAATATAATAGAAGTAAACCTGTTATTTGAAGATTTTTAATATTTTCTACAACTTTTGTGATATACTATGTTAATACAGTATTGGTAATATTATTATTTTTAAAATCTTTTTTCTTGAAATATTCATGTTTATGCATGTAATATTATTATATTTAAAATTGTTTTTCTGTAAATATTAATGTTTATTGCATGAAATAAAAAGAGAGAGATGGCCCAAACAAGTCTAGCTCTCACCTATGTGTTCTCTTTACACAAGAGATAGTTAGAGATTGATCTGGGTTTAGAGAGAGGATTTCTTCTGATTAGTGCTATTGAAGTGCTATGTGTTTCTCTGATCTTTCTCTCCCCCTGGTGGGTGGAGAAAGATAATTTCCCCACCACCGCAATCCAAGAGGGAGGCATTCTTAGAAAACCATTTATAGAGAACAGGAATATATGCCATAGGAGAAAATAAAATCTCACCATTCTCCTAACCACTTCTCCTACCAATATCTACAGAATAGCAAAAAGGTATTGGCTTACCCATGGTTGTGTCCAAACTGGAATAAAGCAAGAGGATCCCTAAAATTTTTTGACATATATTTCCTGGCATTTCAGGAGTATGCAGGGATTGATACCTGATTCTCACCTTAACTCTTAGTTCCTTAACTCTTCCTCACTCCTAGCCCCATCTATGAAGGAACCAGAAACCATTACCTGGGGGAGGCGGGGGAGTAAAAGAACAAGGTGGAAGAACTTCATGCCTCTTTCCCTTGGCTTGTCTAAAAATTGGTCTGAGCTTAGAGAAAAAGCACATTGGATTGCATACTAGATGAAAGTATTGATTTAGATTGGGCTAGTTGCTTATTATCTGAAAATGAGAAAAGGCAAATAGATGAAAATGTCTAGAAAAAGCCCTGGGAGAGGGATGTATGCCATGTGAGTTTGAAGGGCAGTAGTAGGAGAAGAATATTTGCTTACTGCTTATATGGAACTAATCAAAGCACTTTCATTCAATAAAATGATTGTACCACTATCTTCAAATTTATTTTTTCTCTCCCCCACATCAAAACAAAACATAATATTTAGCAAAAAACCTCAGTAGACTCTAGAACTTCTTCCAACTACCACCATCCCAGCACATTTATCCTTCCCTTCAATAGCAAACTAGTTTACACTCATTAGTTTGACTTCCTCTCCTCTCTTCTCTGCTGTTTGTTATTTCACCTATTTATTATGTAACTTTTTATTAAATTAGTAGGCTTTAATTTAGAACAGTTTTAGATCTATAAAAAAGGTTGAGCCCCCTTTATTGCACATGTTTCATCAATTATTAACATCTGGCATTAGTGTGGTACACTTATTAGAATTAATGAATCAATGTTGATGCATGGTTAATTAAAGTCCATAGTTTACAGAAAGGTTTTATTCTTTGTGTTGTACAGCTCTCTAGGTTTTGATAAATACGTAATGTTATGCCTCCATCATTACAGTGTAATACAAAATAATTTCACCACTCTAAAAATCCTCTGTGCATTACTGATTCATCCCTTCCCCTCTCCCTGAACCTCTGGCAACCACGAATTTTTTTACTGTCTTCATAGTTTTGCCCTTTCAGAATTCCATATAATTGGAATCCTACAGGATATAACCTTTTCAACTGTGTTCTTTCACTTAGCAATATGCAGGTAAAGTCTCTCCATATCATTATGTGGTATGACAGGTCATTTTCCTCTTATCACTAAATAAAATTACATTGCATGAATGTACCTAGAGATGGCAAAACAAGGCCAAGTCTCATGGATAGTTTGTTTAATCCATTTACCTATTGAATTGCTTCCAGTTTGGAGCCATACTATCTAATAATAGAGAAACATGGTAATTAGCAGTACCTCCGCTACCCTTCCCATTGGCTAATCAGGGAGATATGCAAATTAACTGCCAACTAAGATGGCGGTTAACCACCAACAAAGATGGCGGTTAATTTGCATACGTAGGCACAATGCAGGGAGGTGAAAGGGAAAGCAAGGAAGAAGCCCCCTGCCGCTGACAGTGATCAGAAACCCAGGGGGGAGCTAAGAGCCAGGGGGCAGCCATGATCGGAGAACCAGCGCCTTTGCCGCCCCAGCCAGTGATAACGGGAAGCAGGGGTGGAGCCAGTGATGGGAGCTGGGTAGGGGCGGAGCTGGCAGTCCGAGGAGCTAGCGGTCCCTTGCCCAGGCCTAAAGCCTTGGCCACAGGTGTTAGGCCTGGGCAGGGGTGGAGCCTGCAATCTCGGGGAGCTGGGGGTCCCCTGCCCAGGCCTAATGCCTTGGCCAGAGACATTAGGCCTGGGCAGGGCGGAGCCTGCAATCGCGGGGAGCTGGGGGTCCCTTGCCCAGGCCTAACGCCTCGGCCAGAGGCGTTAGGTCTAGGCAGAGGCGGAGTCAGCGATAGTAGGGAGCCGGCGATGGGAGCTGGGTAGGGGCGGAGCTGGCAGTCCGAGGAGCTAGCGGTCCCTTGCCCAGGCCTAAAGCCTTGGCCACAGGTGTTAGGCCTGGGCAGGGGTGGAGCCTGCAATCTCGGGGAGCTGGGGGTCCCCTGCCCAGGCCTAATGCCTTTAGGCCTGGGAAGGGGCGGAGCCTGCAATCTGGGAGCTGGGAGTCCCCTGCCCAGGCCTAATGCCTTGGCTACAGGCTTTGGGCCTGGGCAGGGGCGGAACCAGTGATCGTGGGCAGCTGGGGGGGTCCCCTGCTCAGGCCTAACACCTTGGCCAGAGGCATTAGGCCTGGGAAGGGGCGGAGCCTGCAATCTGGGAGCTGGGAGTCCCCTGCCCAGGCCTAATGCCTTGTGTACAGGCTTTGGGCCTGGGCAGGGGCGGAACCAGTGATCGTGGGCAGCTGGGGGGGTCCCCTGCTCAGGCCTAACACCTTGGCCAGAGGCATTAGGCCTGGGCAGGGGCGGAGCCTGCAGTCGGGGAGCTGGGGGTCCCCTGCCCAGGCCTAATGCCTTGGCCAGAGGCATTAGGCCTGGGCAGGGGCGGAACCAGCCATGGCGGGGAGCAGGGGCAGAGTCACGATTGTGAGCAGCTGGGGGTCCCCTGCCCAGGCCTAACGCCTTGGCCAGAGGCATTAGGCCTGGGAAGGGGTGGAGCAGGAGATCCGGGAGAACTGTGGGTCCCCTGCCCAGGCCTAATGCCTCGGTGAGAGGTATTAGGGCGGAGCCGGCAATCACAGGGAGCAGGGGCCGAGTTGGCGATGGTGGGGAGCGGGGGTCCCTTGCCCAGGCCTAATGCCTTGGCCAGAGGTGTTAGGCCTGAGCATGGGCAGAGCCAGCGATCGTGAGCAGGGGCGGTGTGGGCGATTGTAGGGAGCTGGGGGTCCCCTGCTCAGGCCTAAAGCCTTGGCCAGAGGCATTAGGCCTGGGAAGGGGCGGAGCCTGCAATCTGGGAGCTGGGAGTCCCCTGCCCAGGCCTAATGCCCCAGCCAGAGGCCTGAGGCCTGGGTAGGGGCTGAGCCAGGAATCGGTGTGAACTACAGAGGAAACACCTTTTCTGACTGCTCATTGGCTAAGCTCCCTGTATGCCACTGGTAATATTCTTAGTAACCTGGGTAATAAGAATCCAAATAGGTGATCTAGGGTTTTTCACCACACTCCTGGAGAAAAAAAAAGGAAGGTCCGCTGCTGTAGGGCTAAGAAATGTCATATCCTGCCCTAGCTGGTTTTGCTCAGTGGATAATGCCTCGGCCTGCCCACTGATAGGTCTGGGTTCAATTCTGACCAAGGGCATGTACCTAGGTTGCAGGCTCCTCCCTGGCCTGGGCCCAGGTCAGGGCTCATGCAGGAGGCAACCAATCAATGTATTCCTCTCACTTTGATGTTTCTCTCTGTCTTTCCCTTTCTCTTCCAC